TCATTCCATCATGGTTGCTAGCTGTGATTTATGGCGAATCAGCGATCATGAATAAAAGCCTTTTGTCTTGGACTCTGTACGCGGGTACTGATGCCATCCCTAAGCCGTTCAATCACTCTTTTAGCTAATCGATACGCATATCTACCACACTGGCTCCACTTTTGATCCTGAGATCTAATCTTCAGCGATGTTCCATTCAGACGCTAAGCACGTCCGATTTCTTCAAGCAATCGCCGTCGAATAAGACCTCAAAGGTGTCATTTTTTGTGCGCTCTGAACTGCTTCTTTGTTGAGAGAGCTATTAAGACAGGTCGGCAACCATGGGAACGCACCGTTTGCAGAATATCCAAACCCGGTACCATGGAGGTATCCAGTTTCTGTATCTAGGGGGTTTAGTGAAAAACAATCCCATCAGCTAAGTCTCGTTTAGAGACGTGAAGCATCAAGAGGGCGTGGGAGTCATAGGTAACCAGGGAGCTTGGGAAGAAGGGGTTACCCTGAGAAATAGTGAAAGGATGAAGTCCTTGGGGGTCATTCAAACCCGTCTGAGAGATGCGCCCCGCATTCGACTCCTATTCAGAATCGTAGTAACCTACTGAATGCGTATCTGACTTTTATAATGAGTTTCGGAGGCTAGCCGAAGCGCAAGTCAGTGCTTTTACCCGCCCGACGATCTGGTACCAATTAGCCGACCTCGGATGAATAGGAGGCTCGATTGGCCTGGGCGGATATCGATCCTGGTTTCGAACCCGTGACCATTCGTATGTGATAGTGCGCCACTTGCAACTGCACCACCCCCGTCCCAGAGAAACAGTAGTGTCAGTGGATCGGGCAGAGGAAATAGTAAGCCAAGAGAGTGAGTCGGTCTTTCGCCCAGACCCACGACTAGGGTTTTTCCAAATGGCGAGTGTTGTAGTGGAGCCGGTGTCATTATCCCGGGTAAAAAATGGATAATGAAAGGGTAATAATGGATGCGCTACAGGTGAAATGGGAGACGAGCATGTGAATTACTGACTCCACAGCATGTCAGCAGTTTCTCACGGATCGCTATAGACATTTTTATGTGAAATGATGAAAAATGTGATCGGGCAGTCTGCGGGTAACCCTCAACGCTATCACCCACATATGATGTGTTGGGAACAGAGGCATCCACCAAGGTACAACCAAAATAAATAGCTCTAGTAGGGAGAAAAATCGACCACGAGGTGGCAAATGGGGACAGTTTGAGTCACAGGCAAAAGACATCTCAACACNCACTGAAGAGATCGAGCTCGACTGGTATAACTGTACGATCACACTCACATAACATATAAGAAGTAGGAGATCGGAATTCGTGAGCGTTCCCTCCAGCCAGTTTAGCCGAGAAAGCGATTCCTTATGCACCGGACTTTGATTTTTCTTTTGGTTACATGCTTGTTCGATTCGATCTTGAGCAATCATCCAGCTACCAAACCAGTTTCATTACATATGCCTAAGGGAATTCCCGAAAATCTCCCATCTGAGTGACTTAAAGCCAACGATCAACCATTTTCGAGTTGTCATCGCATGGGCAATGTCAATGATGACAAGTCAGGTAGAACGACCTTTCAATTTTTTTGTTCACACGTTTTTAAACCCTCTTACCAGTTTCTTCGCTGGAGCAAGATATGGTTAAATCTTTAGCATATGAAATGAGAAGGGTGTGTAAAGAGAACGAACGTCGTCCTTGTCGTCCCTCCTAACGATATGGTAATAGTAAAGTCAACGAGTCTCGTTCTTTCTTTCATTCTTTTTAAGGTTCCAATCATATCATCGCACCCGGTTTATCTCTGCCGCTCATCGTATTCAGCATATTTACGAAGTAGCGAAGTTGACAATCAATCCAATTTCAGAAAACGACTCTTCAAAGAGCTCTCTAGTTCAATGCAGTTCAGTTTAAGGCGATAGCCTGACTATGCTATTTTTTACATTTTGCTCGGGAGGAATGAATTCCCAGAAGCCTAGTTACCACACTGACCAGCTCATCAAGAAATGATGGACTAATTCCAATGCAAAAGTGAAGCCGCCGTATCGTCCGCCCGGAGTTACGGGCTCCGTCCACGGACGAAGCGATGTCGTGGTTAAGCCTAAAGAATCGAAGATCAGGTGTACCGGACATGTCGTGCGAATTTGTGATGACGATTGAACCAGAGCGATTACCGACTCACTCCCTTGAGAGACAAACGAACACCAGGACGGCCACCAGCGCA